GGGGAGGGCGGAAAGTTACTGCTACAGAGAGACATGCAGGTAGCTGCATAATCTTGGCGGACGCTCGTTCTGCGCTCACAATCTCTTTCCAAACTGATTTGGAGAAACGTCGAAGTGGCACAGGGGATAATGCGAACAAGTTCAACAAGGTCAACAAGGTCCATGCTATGCAGTGCAGACGTACCTGCTAAGAGGCCCTTGCTGCGGAATGACTGCAAGTTCGGTTAGCTCTATCGTGTTCCAGGTGCGCTTTTCTTGGACTTAGGAGGAGCAAGAACACTCTAGAGGGTTCCACCTTAGACGGGCCAGCGCGTGCGCACACGCCCGTCGACTGCCAGCGACTGCAAGTTCAGCTAGCTCTATCGTGTTCCACCTTAGACGGGCCAGCGACTGCGCACACGCCCGTCGCTCTTCGGGATTTTGGGTCTGGGGCGACACACTGCTAGATCGGGACTCAGGGCGACAGGCAAGGCGGAGACGGCCCAGCGCGTGCGCACACGCCCGCGCACAGACGCAACCGCGTGCGGACACGCCCGTCAGCAGACTAGCACACTAATTCACCCAAGCACGCGCGCGCGCGCGCGCACACACACACACACACACACGTCATACAAACACATGTCTTTCCTTGGAGTTTAGTAGTATAGCAAAGTAAGTTTACTATAGTTACGACGCACACATACACATATCATATACAGACACGGCTTTACCTGGAGCTTGTCTAGCAGATATGAGAGTGCACACGCGCAATCAGTCACGTGCAAACGAACGGGGATACGAAACGGGGCTAAGAATAGACTGAGAACAGAATAAGAAGAGGATACGAAGAGGATACGAAGAGGATGCGAAGGGAGGAGATAAGAAGCGTTTTCGTCAGTGCAGGAAAGCGGGAACTGGACAACTGCAACAGTGTAAAGACCAGTGCATTACGGTAAGGATCGGGGAATAAGAAGAGGATGCGAAGGGAGGGGATAAATGCGGGATAAGAAACAAACTCGTTGGTGAACAGAAGCGGGACTTGAACAACTACAACAATCACTGCGTCACTGCATTGCTGCATTGCCTGGGGATGAGAAGCGGGGATGCGAAGGGATAACGAAGTGAAGAAGAGGCGAAAAACTGATACCACTATATGTATCGGAGTCAGTTGCAGATCAGCCAGCTTCTGAAACGTTTTCGCCATCGGATTCCCATTACGGACCTGTCAACCTCTTGACGTGCGTCTCTTTTTGTGAGCGTGTGTGTGTGAGCGTGTGTGTGTGTGTGTGTGTGTGTGTGTGTGACAGAGAGAGAGACAAAGAGGCGCTGAGAGAGAGAGAGAGAGAGAGAGAGAGAGAGAGAGAGAGAGAGAGAGAGAGAGAGAGAGA